ACGAAGTATAAGTTACGCACACATGCACCGCACTCTGAGGGGATGGCTGGTAACTTCGTCATAGAAATTGGTATGGCGCCAAAGTAAAACTTGTCTCTACTGAAGTAGTTAAATGTACACTGTACATTGATATAAGTGACCTTGTACAATCTCTATTGGCGTTCGAGAGCTAAAGCACTGTTTAACGCGTATACATTCATGTTGACGCCACAGAGTTTCCTAAAATTAACTAGACGGGACTCTGGCACTGCGATCATTCAGCCACCGTGGGAACGATGAGTATTACACAAATTCGCCTGGTCTTCGAGCTTGCGGGTCCTTGAACGCACTTGTTGCTTTGTTTATTATCGTTTATTGATTTTGTTTTGAATAAAAGGACCGACTGTCGTGAATCTTGTGACCCGATTTGATTAAGTCAGCCTAAAAGATTAAGGTGTCGAAGTGCAACGGCTGAACATTTTCTGATTGTTCGTCTCGTAACTAAGCGGCTCCAAGTCACGCGAAGCCAAACGTAGCCAAAAGAACAAAGCTTAGCCAAATTTGTGTACTATCCACCATTCCCATGCTCGCTGAAGTGCCGTGCGTTGCAGCTCCCACCGACACTAGCGCCAGAATTCTCTCTAGTGTACTTATAGGAAACTATACGAGGGAAAGTACGACCGCCGTTCCGCCGTTCCCCTCTGCTCGAGTCTAACGCGAAACAAGCTTCGTAATGGGTGGGAAAATGAAAACGATCCGACGACGTCTTGTTTCTTACAACGGCCTTTTTTCGATCTCCGGCTTTCCTGGCATGTATACATGGGAAGTATACTAAGCGGTTCTTGGAACACAACGCCAGGTGACGTCAGTCGCCATTATCGTCCGGAACTTGCACGGCCAAAAAAAAAAAAAAAAACTCGCGGACGAGGGTTTCCGAGGAAGCGTCACCCGATTCCCGCTATCTTCGGCAGGTCAACGCCTTCTGGTTCCCCCCCCCCCCCCTCCTCGGTTTTGTGCGTGGTGCCTCTTATAGGGTTAGGCTATCGCAGCGGACTGAACAGGAGCTAGCCGACTAATAGTCGCGCTTGCCTGTCACGTGCACAATACCTACTTTTGCCATAAACTTTTATGGCTATACTTGGTTAGCACCTAAAAAAATTCAGCTGTGCATAAAAATATATACATTCGACAATTTAGAGCACGATGTACTCGACTATGGGAGAGCGATTAGCTGTCCCAAAACGCACTCGTATTTAGAGAATGGTTTAACGATTGAAAGTACTTCGTACTCTATATACTGTGGGAGAACATGAAGCCGTCCCAAGTTATAATTACCGCATTTTTAGAAAAAAAGTTGTTTACGATTCAGAGTACTAGGTACTCTACTATGGAAGAGCTAAAGCCGTCCCATGGACAGAGGTACAGGTATTCCTTATCGACGGTGGTACAATGGATACGTGTTTAGAAAAAAATTCAGCATATCCACGGAGTGAATGATGGATATAGGGGCGAAGCATCCGTCCGTACGTTCGTTCTTGCTTCCGTCCATCCATGCGTGCGTCTGTGTGGCCGCCCGTGCGTCCATCCGCCCATCCGTGCGTCCGCACGTTCGTCCATGCAGCCGCCCCTGCGTCCGTTCATGCGTCCGTCCATGTATCTGTCTGTGTGTCCGTTCGTCCACCTATTCAACACTCCAAGTACCACCATCTCGCATCTTTTCATCATATATTCCTCATATAGAAGCACTGCCATCCAGCGGACATTCCAAGGACTGAACGAGATGAGGCACACGCACACTTTCTTACGGCTTGCGCTTCGTGTCTACTTCCCACCTTTAACCACCTCGAGTTCATGGTATATACTAGTTCACTGTATTCATGGCACTGCGGCCCAACGCTCGCTAAACCTTTCTAAAACTAGGAGGTTACGCCCAACGAGTATAACGTAGCAACCCTTTCTTGTCTTCTGTGCGTTGTTGAACAATAAAAATTCGCAGCGTGCACGTTAACTAAAAGCCAAATTCTCCCGTCTCTCATTCCCCCTTAGCAGCCATTGGCATGTACATTGAACACTATCTTTTATTGTTCAACAACGCACAGAAGAAATCTCTCACCGGCACCACCTTGGAGGTCCAAATTTTATACTTGTTACACACTACTACAACGGCTACGAGAGACGAACAGGAGCCGCTATGAGGAGCTTCGCCCCTAAAAAGTGGTTATTGATTTAGAGTACTCGGTACTCTACTATGGGAGAGCATAAAGCCGTCCTGCGGAAAGGTCTCGTATGCACAGCAGTAGGGCTTACATTCCGATACGCGTGATCACGGTAGCCTGATCCACTATATTTTTTTACGACGCAAGGTGGTGCCTCAGATAGTTCACTTTACGATACAGACGCACGTGTGCGTCACTGCTTGTTGACCGGAAACTTGAACGTCTTTGTAAATTTTAATCAAAGATACTGACATCACTGGACGGTCAAAAGTAATATTTCAGATAGTGACGACGGACCTTTAACTTCTCATGTAAGTATCGTTGCACTGGCCAATAAAAATGTATCTACGGTTAGAACGGAAACCAGCAAGTACAAACGTCTTTCACAGGTAAAAGACAGAAACGCAGCAGTCCTCTGGGCGATGCCGACATCTTTAAAGTTGCAACTGACTGAAGGGACCGATAGGTAGCCTTCTCGTCTCGATGTCGCTCTGGTTTATCAGATCGCACCCTTTGGACAAGTTGATTATGCTTGCATTGATTAGTAACTAAGGAGACGAATCCCAGGTCACGATTGCCGAGTTCAACGAGGGAAGCAAAATAGTAGGTCTGAAAATCACTATGCAAGGAACTATAGGGTAATATAAAACAGGCTCGTAAGAGAACAGCGCTCTGCTATGGGTGGCGAGGCACTGGAGGTTGAAGTAAAAGAATACGTCTACTTAGCACAGGTAGTTGCCGCGGAGCCGGACCACGAGACAGAAGTAACTGAAAGAATGGTACGAAGTACATTTGGCAAGCGTTCTCAGATGACGAAGGGCAGTTTGCCACTGTGAGACAACAGTAAAGATTATAACAGCTTGATCTAACCGGTACTTAACCTACGGAGCAGAAACCTGAATGCTTACAAATAAGGTTCAACTTAGATTGAGGACGACGCAGCGACCAATGGAAACAGATAGGTCAGAAAACAAACTGGTGTTAATGGCATCTTAGTCGAAATCAAAAAGAGTAATGCGAATGGGCCTGGAACGTCGCGCGTAAACAAGATAACCACTGGGTCATTACGAGTAACAGACTGGATTCCAAGATAAGTCAAATGCGAAAGTGGAGACAAAGTTCGGTCGGTAATTGCGATCAAGTTTGCTGGTATAACGCGACCGCAACAAGCACAGAATCGGGTTGATGGCCGGAACATGTCCTGCACTGGGACCAGTCAGGATGATGATGATGATGGTGGTGGTGGTGGTGGTGATGATGATGATGATGGCAGAGCCCTGACTGAGCATAGAGTTTTCTAAATATACACTAGAGGGAACTATGGCGCTATAGTGTCTATGGCAGCTGCAACGCAAGGCGCTTCAGCGAGCATGGGAAGTATGGGTAGTACACGGACTCGTCTAATTTTCGTACTTCTGGCTGTGCATGCGTTCGTGTGGCTTGGAGCGCTGTTTTCTTACGTAACGAAAATCAGCAAATGTTCAGCTGTCGCGCTTCACCGCCTTATTCTTTCAGGCTTACCGTTTCAAATCGGGTGACGAAGTTCAAAAGCGTTCGTTCTTTCCTTCAAAACGAAACCGAAACACAGCAATAAACGAAGCCCACAAGTACGATTCGCCGCCCGCAAGTACGAAGACGGGGCGAATCCGTGTACCACGCATCATTCCCATGGTCGCTGAACGATCGCAGCGTCAGAGTCTCCTCTAGTTAACTTTAGGAAACTCTATGGGACTGAGTGAAGGTTTGGGCACACTATCAGGCTTATAGAATAAGGAAAGGAGGGGACAGTTGCGTGAGTCAAGCGTCAGTTCTACTGACAGATGCGGAATTCGCTTTTTTGGACGTCACATATCCCAGTGTTTTTCTCTGTGTTACGTTTTTTGTTTCTTTGTTTTTTTTTTCTTTTTTTACGTTTTCTTTTCTTAGTTCTTGACACGTGTTTGTTTCCGGTTGTGGGCGCGTGCATATCTTGTTGCATCACGTTGTTGGTGATGACAGGGGAAGTCGGGAATGACGTACATGCGTGTGATGTATATATTAGTGTTCGCTTCGAAATAAAATTTTCAGTTGCTAGTAAGCGCTTGTCTGTGTCCTCTCTGAGTGTGTGTATTTCTGCGCTTGTTTCATCATGAACCTTTACCAACACGCCCAACTGGCAGTGATCCTATGAGGCTCCTTCCGCGATCAAAAAGGGAGGGTATCCCCCCCCCCCCCATTTCTTTGTCTGCACGTCTATGCAGGCAATTAAGCCACGTCGAGTGACCAGAGTCGTTCCTTAGAGAGAGATAAATAGAGAGGAAAGGCAGGGAGGTTAACCAAGCTTGGCTCGGTTGGCTACCCTACGCTTGGGGTGGGGGAAAAGGGGAATAATAGAACGAAAAGAGACAGAAAGAAGAGGAGTAAGAAAGAGAAGCATAAATAGTCAGCTCGAAACTACACAGCACGGCCTCGCACAGTTCTTTCACAAGCGGTCGTGAAGTTTGGTGTTCCTTAAAAAGTACAAGAGGGCTTTCATGGCTTTGCGCGTATGGGAAGCCGTCGGCCAAGGTCCCAGGATCTTCTCTTCTGTAAGCGGCCGTGAATCCAGCTGACAGAGCTTGGCTTCCATAATACGTCGTTCGGTCTGGTATGCTGGGCAATGACATAGAATGTGCTCAAGCGTTTCCTCGCAGGCGCAGATGTTGCATGCCGAAGTGCTCGCCATTCCAAGGAGACGAGAGTACGAATTCGTAAATGCCACGCCCAACCTCATGCGACACAGTAAAGTAGAGTTTCCGTCTCAATCACGGGACATTTTCGACGCAGGTGCAAGCCCTCCCAGCTGTGGTCCCTGGGCCTACTGGTCGCGCTCCTGCTGGTCCTGTGCGGATCCCACGGCGCCTCGGGGTTCCTCACCGGCCGACGGAGCAGGCAGTAACGCCGCTTCGGGAGCCCTGGTGGCGTCTTCCTTCCTGCGCTCCCTGTGGAAGCGAGCCTCGATGGGCGCCTCGATGAGAAACTCGATGCGTGACTCGCCCATCTACTACGTCAGCACCTTCGTGCGCAACAAGACGCCCGCCCAGCAGCAGGCGGCCGTGCTGTCGCCGCTCTTCAAGATCCCCATCGAGTTCATGTCCAACGCGAGACCGCTCGACGTGAGTATACGACGACAACCGTATATAGTCCCTCAATAGATCCATTGTCCCGCACTGTTCCTCAATAGGCTATCGCATTCCCTCGATCGGAGTGCTATATGGTATGACGCACGTGCACCTGTGCGAACTCGCTTCACTGACCTCGCAGACATCCTCATAGAGCTTCGTGCTGATGCCGCCAGGGGAAAATCGCGGCGCTACGATCGCTCAACATATTGTTACGGATAATACGCAACGCCGTATCGACGAGGCTGTGGACGAGATGTACTCGAAACAAGCAGTAGTGGCGTGACCGGTTCACCAGCGACCGAGTGGAGACCACCCTTCGTCCTCTTCGTCAGGCACACACGCGCATCGTCCCACAAAATGTCAACATGCGTGTAGCAATATGATAAAAAAAAATGCAAGCGTCTAAAGCGTTTCTCATAACGGGAGGGTATAGTGTGGAGGTAGTGTAGCCTGAACGAACGGGTGCTGACCAACTGCCAAGAGCTAAAGGGGGCCCCTGTCATTATTATTATTATCATTAGTAGTAGTAGTAGTAGTAGTAGTAGGAGGAGTAGTAGTAGGAGTAGTAGTAGTAGTAGCATTATTATTATTATTATTATTATTATTATTATGTTTGGACACGCAGAATACACGACGACACAGACGAAATAGAAGGGGAACAGATTGACAACTGCGACCTAATAAGGTACAACACCTGCCTACTTTCCCGGCTGCGGCAGCTGCATTTTCGATGGAGGCGAAAATGCTGTAGGCCCATGTGCTCGGATGTGGGTGCACCTCAAAAAGCCTCAGGAGGTCGAATTTTCCGGAGCCCTTCACAACGGCGTCTATCATAATCATATGGTGGTTTTGGGACGTTAAACCCCACATATCAATCAATCAATCGGGGTAACATAAAGGGGAAAAAATAGGAAACAGAAAACAAATAACAAACTGAGACACAAATAGACGCCCGAAAAAGTGTCTTAAGCACGAGGCCAAATCGGTTTGCTTCATGAAAGTCAGCAAAGCTCGATGGGAGCACCGAGCAGCGCATCTTTTCGGGAACATGGCAATCGCCAAGCGTCCCAAACTCAAGTCGAATTAGTCCATATTGCTTGATAAGCAGCGCTCGCTGCGTAACAAACTGTCTTTCATGGTGACAGAGGGGTCAATGCATACTTTTGATGACATTCGCGCAATCTTCACAGCGCGATTGAATGATTGATATGAGGTGTTTAAGGTGGAGGAGGAGGAGGGGGGCGGAGATTAAGCGGAAGAACATGGAGTTTAGCCAGTTCTTAGACCAGCTGGCTACCCTGTGCCTGTGCTGGGGAAAGGGGTGAGGGTACTAAAAAGATGATAAAAATGTTGCGAAGAGATAGAGAGAGAAATTGCAAAAAAAAATTGCGACAGGGGAAAGGCAACAACAAAGAGTATAAGACACTAAACTCTGTCTTTGAGGCCAGTTGTCCGCAAAACGCGCAGCAAAGCTTTCAAAGCCTTCCGGGCTGAGGATGGGCTCGGCCAATGACCCAGAATCCTCTGTTCCGACAAAGGCCGATCATCCAGTCTATCCAGAACTGCAGTCCGTTCTTGTATTGGTGCGTTGAAATGGGTGCACTCACATAGAAGGTGCGCGATGGTTTCTTCGCAGCTGCAGTACGTGCATGTAGAAGATCTGGCCATTCCAATGAGATAGGAGTATGCGTTCCTGAAGGCCACTCCAAGCCAGAGGCGGCATAGAAGAGTATCCTCAGCTCGAGATATCCCTGAGGGAAGATGAAGCTGCAGATCGGGATGAAGCTGCAGGCGCGCGTTTGTGAAGTCTGTTCAGTTCCACTGTACCACTGTGGGGTTTAACGTCCCAAAACTACCATATGATTATGAGAGACGCCGTAGTGGAAGACTCCAGAAATTTCGACCACCTGGGGTTCTTTAACGTGCACCCAAATCTGAGCACACGGGCCTACAACATTTCCACCTCCATCGGAAACGCAGCCGCCGCAGCCAGGATTCGATCCCGCGACCTGCGGGTCAGCAGCCGAGTACCTTAGCCAGTAGACCACCACGGCGGGACCTTCAGAGCGAGAGTTCTGTTTGCTGTAGAATTAACCACATTTGCACTTTCTAATGTCGGGCCGAAAAGTCACACATAGTGTGACGACACCGTGCATTTATGAATATTATGATCGTTTACGATGGTCGTACGGCATTGAAAATGTTATAACCAGGTGTGACACCCGCTGAATCTCCATAACGTGTGTATAACGCCAGAGAAGTAAGCATATCTGCTTTGTGTCACAACTCGAGGTGAACATTTTTTTTTTTTCTGGGACAGCCTATCTGTAGTCTTTTTTCACCTCTACCCTGAACACTTCTTTTGGCTCCGAAATATCAATGGTGCATGGTGTGCGGAAGCATCCCACCCGTTGTCACAGGACGGTAAATCCAGACTTTTCATAATTCGACAACCCTCAATACCTCCGCCACGCCTGCAAAAGCTGTGCCTTCTCTCAAGAATCAATTCCTGCAACCCCAGTGAAACGTTCAGACGCATTAATCAGTTTTATCAAATTCAAACTAGCAACATACTGCGCACCAAAATGGCGGACACAGAATGCACCCTGGTAACGCCATTTAGGCTTCGCGAAAGCGAATAGCAAAGAATGCCGGCGAATGTGTCTTTCTTCGGGTGTCAGACTGTTCACACTCTTGATTCACCCCGCGCCGTCGATTACCCCCAGTTACAGCTGACGCAAACAGAAGAAGAAGAAGCAAACGAAATAAAGCGAACGCCGCATCGTGTGCCTAGCCTACGGAAGTTACGCTGTCCAGCACAGAACACGTCCGGCCACTGGGCGCGTCAGGCGCAGCCGCCTGCGCGGCCGAATGCCCGCTTTACCCAGTAAAGTTCTGCTAGATTTGTTGTTTATCGGTCTTTATTACAGAGTGCAGTCGTAAGAGCATCCGGCTGTCACGTCCAAGTCAGTTCCCGACGTGAAAGCCCTCGAACTCGTTAGCGCCATCGCCTCGGAACAGAGGGCGCCGCGGGCGTCAGTGATCATCACGTCGTCTGCTCCCGGTACGGGCCACGTCGTCTGCTAGATATGGCACGTCCGCTTTTCTTTTTTTTTTTTTTTTCAGCGCGTTCGTAGGCTGTCGGCGCGCCTCCCCGCAACTGTTCAGTTCCACACTCCCCAGTCGCTAGCCGCCGCCCTGACCCCACCTTCTCTGTGTTCGAGGGATGCTCGCGCTGGCACGCTCGTCTCCTCGAGCATGACCACTATCGGTCAAGGATTACTGCTGCGCACGCGGGAAGACCCAGCTGAAGGCGGTTCAGCAGACGATGTTCGTCGTCTGCTATTCCGTCTGTTTCGTTTCCGCTTCGTCTGTTTGCTTTGTTTCGTCTGCCCCTCGCTGATGGGACCAGCAGAAGACGTGCCAGAGACGAGCAAATATATATATTTTTTACGGCTGATTACAAGGAGAGTTCCGCGATGAACAAAGCGCGTTCCTTTCCGTATTTATCGATGAGGTGAGTGCTAGCTTCTAACAGCTCAGCACTACTAACGTCATCATCGGCAATGCTGCCCCTCCCCCCCCCCCGCAACCCTTTACCGCGTTTCCTCTATAGTCCTAATAACGAAAGCAAGACTTGGCAGCTGCTTCCTTCGTTGATTGCAAGGCTCATTCGACCACGCCAAATCAACGCCTCCCGGATAACAGGAGGCTTGCATGTGCTAACCCACGGCGTGAAGTTGAAAACGTCGCTTTTCGAAAATGTGAGGTGCATCCGTTCCACAAATAGCGTCATGATGTAAAGAAAAAGAAAAAAAACGTAGCTGACATAAACAGCTGCACAAAAAAAAAACCTCACATTGTGTCTGTGTGTTAAGAAAAAGTGGGTAATGATTTAGAGTACTATGGGAGAGCATATAGCCGTCCCGCGGCAAATGCCATAACGATTTAGAGTACAAGGTACTGTTTAGAAAAAAAGTCTATTTACACTATGAAAAAAAAAAACAAGTTTCATAACATTCCACTAATGGGCACATATACTTCGACAGATCAATGTACCACGACCAACATCACTACGTTGAAAGAAAGACATCCTTGCTCTAATATACATGACAATGTTGGCATACGTACATGTACATAAGAATTCATGCGATATCATGATACAATAAACGGTATAACGATACAATAGATGCAATGAAACACAATTGCTTACAAACGAAATCACGAATAACTACTCAACGGGCGCTGCTTAGCACCACGTCGGTGGAAAAATGAGTGTTACCCTTTCGTGTTCAACATTGTCGAAAGGACACGACCAGTGCCGCAGAAACTCGTGCTCCCCGAGGAGGAAAAGCTCCTACTGTCCGATTTTACTCCACTATCCGATTTTAGGCACACGAAACAGGTTCTGCAGACGGTTTCTATCAGCTGCAGCAATGACGCCTAGACTTGTAGACATCTATACGGCACAAGTTGGTGACTTCACAAAGCAACGCACTTTCTCTGTTCTCTACTACTTGGAGCAGAACTTTTCCTCTCATTTATCATGTTTTCTGTGTGCGATTCGCAATGTTGTCAGATGAGTTGTAGCGGCTGGACAAACGGCTTGACTTCAGCTACATTTGTCGCTTGCGTCACCCCAGAGGAAAACTTGAAACACGTAGGAGGTTGTATGTACCGCAATATTCGAGATAACAGGCGCGAACATCAAACAAATCGACCGTGGCATTCAAGTTCATCTCAAAAGAGATGCATTCATGACGACAAGAAAGCCTAAAGTTTCGCTATAGAGTCTCGTAGAAATGCAACAGAATCTCTATAGACACATTTCTCAGAGACCATGGCAGCAGGCAAGCAGATGTTCTACCACACGGCACCATGGCAGCAGCTCTTGAAGTGACCACGGTTATCTTGTACTGACAGCTTCTGCGGTCACTGATGTTGATTACAACACTGGCATCCAGGGTTGTCGGCAGCTAACAATGGTTCTG